ATAAGAAGCTCGTCTATTTTCTTTTACACGCTCGTTTGTGTCGCGTTTGATTAAGACATTGTGTTTTGCTAAAATTTTAACAACTCATCTAATTCTCAACGACGGTTTTTCTACACGCAAACCCCGTCATGAGGGGCACAACACCGCTCATTTTCCCTACCACTGCTAATCATTTGTAATTAAAAGCGTTGAAGCTGATACGCTGCAGGGTGCAGAATCTGTACCTGATATTAAATACTACCCGGCATTAGCTGAAATACAAATATTCGTGATTTGTAAAATTATAATGTTTCAGACAGCTCTCCTCTCTTTCAAGTTTCATTAGGTTTTCGCTCCCACCTGACAATACCTGTATCAAATCCCACCACACACAATTAGTCCGTACCTAATGGATGATCCTGATGTATTCATAAACAAAATTTGCCACAACGATAATTGCAACATTATTTTTTTAGCTTGATTACGTAACCCTACTGCCAGAGGGAGGTGGTGTAACCGGTTGTATTAAAGCAGAAACGTAAAAACAAACATATCACGAGTGCCAGAGATACGAATTTGTGGAAATTTTGACGATCTAGCGAAAAGTTATCACTTCCGAGTTGGCAGAAAACCAGATTTTGACGTTTATCGACGTTCTCTGACACCACTAGAAGTATAAAAGAAACGTGAATATTAAGGTTATAGGTTACCGATGAGACAAAACATATTCAAACCAAAGTTATTGAAGTTCTTCGATGTTCTCTTAATAAGAAGTAATCTTCAGGAAAGCTTTTTGTCACTCTGAACGCTCTGGAAATGTCAGAACAGGCATTAGAACCACCTGCTGAGATGTTGAGTCGTTGCGGTAAATATATAGTAATTGGAACACTTAAAATGCCTCAGATCGTGTCATATTAGCAATTCAATTCGTTCGTGGGCACCAACAAGGGTAAGGGGAACGTACAAAAGAACGATATCATAGGGTTCGCAATGTAGGGAACCCACAATGACACTATCTCCGGATTTAAAAATTTGATTGGGGGTCTCAAGACATTTACGAACAATTCTGGGTTCATTTGGTGTACACAAAAATGACAATAGGGACAAAATGTCAATAGTGTCAATAAAAAAAACGACAAGTGATGTAGGTACATTATTACCGAAACTAAATCTTAATGCACCATCTATACTTCGACTATTTCCAACATTGATAAAATATTTATGGTGCTAAAGTCGTATACATACATCCTACATTCAGTGCGTAATGTATTTGTAATAGATAATATGTTTAACGACGTAAAATATACATCATAACCGCTTAACATGAAGGAATAAACGTTTCTCAGATGTAACAACGTCACATGTAGCGCCGAAATTGTATGATTTAGTGTGATTTATGAAATACAAGCACGAATGTTTTTGAAGCTACTATATACATTTTCCAAATTGCCATTTGCGTACGTATTTATGCTTCCATTCAGTTTTATTGATTTAAAGACATTGTTTCATGCCACAATTCCCTCAAAGTAACTTATTATTGCTCACAAATATGAGTTTGGTGTTGCGTTATGTAATCTAAGCAGAAGGCATCACCGAACCGAAATATAGCATTCAAATACTACAAAGACGCATACATAACACAATATGTTTTAGTTTTAGTGCAAAGAAAATGGTGGTATGCACAGAATAGAACCGAGAAATATATTCAGATATTTTGTTGAGATAGCGAAGGATTATTTCCTTCCGCGTTTGAGACATCCATGAGTAATCTCGCTCACAATAACCTTAGCGCGAGGGATTCTGAGCTAAAGCTGTGTTGTTCCAACCTGTATCTATTGTCACCTGTTTAACTTTCACCAGTATCGTTATTATTGCTATCTGTTATAATTAGAAAAGTGTCAATACCATAAACTGATAATGTTTCTAGTTGTGACAGTCGGAATACGGATGAGCTACGAATTGGGTCGTTAGCATCATCCTCTGCTGATGCATATCAAGGTGAGCCTGACCTTACAAAAGAGTTACTACACACTGTTTTCCTTGTAATAAAAAACAACATTATTGACGTGAATCCAGTTAACACAAAACAAAGACATTAAAAATCGAGTTAAAGCATATTTTAACGGATGCTTAGCTAATTTATGACACAGTGATTTATTTCACCTCGGCAGTTGCTCGCAAAGGGATTTCTGGTTTGTGCGTTTTTATTGCGCCATATAATTTCGGACGTTAGGTTTGGAATGATGTATTGTTAACTTCAAGTATGCAAAAACTTATCTCTTTTTATACGAGATTGGATTGAGCGACTCGTAAACGCGGCACGGTGGCATTTGTTAAGAAACAAAAAAGTAGGGTTAAAGTTAGATCACATACATAAATTATAGTTAACTCAGTTAGCCGATTTTTGTTTTTTACTAGTTTAGGAACTTATTACGACTTAATATTCATGAGGAATACTTACTCCACGTAGAAATGTTCAAATTGTTGGAGTGGTGTAGTGTAATTTTGGTTAATTTAGAACTAGTCCGATATATTGCAGCTTTGGCATTAAATATTAACGCTGCTGTAGGTTCATTTGTTGATTATTTTGACAATGTAGGTTTAGTTTTATTGTTTTTCTACATTATGATATTTTGCGCGATAAATAAAATTATCTATACAAATTAGTTTAGTTTCGGAACTAGTATTTTTCACATCTGAAGCCACGATCGATGTTATGCTTGCCTGATTTAATGAAACAACTTGTATGGATGTATGGGGTGAATTGTATAACCTAGTTTTGCAACTAATAATTATGTTTACAAACGCGGTAATTCAAATTAATTTGCAACCTAGAAAAAAGGAACTACAATTTCAGTTATACGGTGTTACATTTTTTATCAAAGGTTTTAATCTGTGTCATTCTAGAGTATTATTGAACTTGAACCTTGCATATACGTTGCATCATAGCGACGTCGCTAAATGTAACTACCAAACCCCTACAGTGAAAATTTAAATCTAATTCCTCCTGTAACGTAATTTTGTGTTCGGGTGGTTCCCCATTTTTTAGAAATCTCGTTATTTATTCTTGCTGGAATATATATTCCGTGGCGCGTCACGGTTTGCGAATTTTTTAAAGCGGAAAAGGGCGAATGAGGGTGTAAAATTGCAAGAATTAACCCTTCAGCGAAAACGAGACAATCCCATTTGGACTAGTTTGGTGGTATTTTATTGTCGGCTTTTTAACGTAACTCGGTTAAACGTGTCATTGCCTCTGGCCGAGCTGTTAACATTTCACACTTCATCTCTGAAGCTCCTTTAAAATTCATCCGTAAAAATCGAGCCTCGGGCATTAAAATTTCAAACACGTTGCTTTATTCCCGAATCTTTTTGACGACTGCATTAGCTATACTGACTGTATTAAACGTGGTGGGCATGTTTTCAGTAAATCAATAGTGTTTTTGTCGGTATAGTGTGTCAGCTTTGACGAGGGATAACAAAATTCACCGGTGGTAGTAAAGCGGGCGAATGATGATTATTTGATAAATGTTCACGGACTGTTGATATGAAAGTGTGCCGTTAAATTATTAAATATTATGGCACGGTGACGTCATGACTAATTAAGATTTCATAAGTCGTGTAATATGACATCGGTATGACGGGCTGTGTCGAAAATTGTTTGTGATACACACAGAGTAACGGAAAGCTCGGCTGCTTGAATTTTTAACGATAAACCATTGAAAGTTAAACGTATTTACTGTTTACATAGTGAGTCATTCGACTTAAGAATCTTGTCATAGAAAGCGACCCTAAATTCTTTCCTTTAAAAACATTTTATTGTCCACTCTGACGACATTCGTAACAAGCTTTTAAATTTACACAACCTATCGTAATTCTTATAGGTGCGCTGTATGTTACTTGACTTACAAGTGACTTAAGTACAACTGCAATTAAGTATGTTTCATGTAGTATAGTTATTAATACACTCGACTTAATGAGTGGTTTTTATGGCAACCCTTTTATCAGGTACGTTCGGAGTTTATCCGATGTCAGAAATGTAATACGACAGCAGTCGCCGTCTATTTCACGCTTGGAATAATAAACATTTCTAGCGAATTCCATTTTTAAATATCCACCGCTACTCGTTGGGGGAATCATGACAACAAACCTATTCACATGTATGAAATTCAAAAATTAAACCGAATAAATTATCACTGATAAAATCTGTAAACATTGCGAAAACGAAAAACGTTCGATTAGACGAGCATGATTCATAACAATGGCATTTTTAAACTTATCGACAACTATATCTTTTGTAACAGGGTAGTGACAAATTTGAAATTTCCAATGCAGATGACGTCGCTGCCCCTCCACAAGTAGTAGTGACCTTCTCAAGGTTGCAAACTTAAATTTTACCCACAACATGCACTGTAGACTATTCTTTCTCAACAAGTTAAAAAAATGTAGGCCGCATCTGTCAAATTACCATATAATATAATTTATGTGATGACGTTAATTTAAATTTATAACGTTGCTTATTTTGAGTACCTACAGACAAAAAGGAGAAAGCGAATTGCAAAGTGCGGTGTCCCATTAATAACTGGATATAGACCATCACCTGCAGAAAAATTAATAATACAAAAAGAATGTCGGCAAAACAATACAAAAAAAAGCTTGAAGTATACTCTTTCTTAGAAGTGGTGGGGATTTATTGCATACGATAATTAAAAGAAATAGAAAACTATGTCCGTTTCTTACAACCGCACAAATACTAATTAATTACATCAGTTCAACTACCTCCATCTATGAGTTGAAACGATTATCGTTATGAATCATTCATAGAAACAACCTGCAGGCTTAATATTTTTTATTTGTATTCACAATGCATCTGTACTCTTCAAAACAAACGTCAGAAGTCGTTATTTTCTATATACTAACTATACATGTCTTTTGGAATTACAAACTTGGACCACCTCAATGATTGCATGCTAAAACGTATAATACAAGTCTAGAGGCAGACTATCAAATCAAAAAAATATGTCTTAATGCATGAATTACAACTCACTTTATTGGACAAAAGTATTTCAATACCCCTAACTATTTATAGATATCAAGATGAATATAGATACAATTTTAAATAAAACAGTTACATGTATCACAATATTGTTTCTTAGTCCAGTTTTGTACCTTTCTTCTTCACCTCATATGCCGTTTCAAACTTCAAATCTTCATTAAGTTTCTTAGCTAAGAAATATAATTCTGCAAGAGCTATAGTTAGAGCACAAATGATGCCTAAAAGAAGTCTGAAACCAAAGTCCAGACTTCCTATGAGCAATTCCACGCCAATGAACCCAAAAGCAAAACCAGCAAGTACTGACATGATGAACTGACTGATGGCAATTAGTTGGCGGTTTATCTGTTTCACTGAAATTAGACAATGATGTAATCTTGAATTTGATGAAACCATACTTACTCTGGAATGAAATTGTATCTTCAGGATGCTTCCTACGAACATTGTCTACGTTTTTCGTCATACTGTTGTATTCTCTGTTCTGCTGTGAAGCTCTCAAACGTTCACAACGCTTTTCTAATTCTGCGTTTCTAGGTATTTCACTATTCTTTGGTAACACAATTTCTGACCCTTCTAGAATATTGTGAAGATACACCTTCTCTGATTTGTCTTCATTGTCTTTTTGCATGTAGCTATACAGCCAATGCAAATCTTGCAAATTCAAAAGCTTGTCACTATCTAAAATTATTGCTTCATTGTATAAAGGCAACTTTGTTATGTCAACTTTAGAATTAAGTTTCAACGTGTTTAAAAATTGACGATCTTCATCTGTTATTAAGTACTGTGGTTCTGCTGGCTTGCTATTTGTAGCGTTCTTTTTGTTTTTGTAAATGACATTTGCTATACCTACTGGAATATCAGAGGAAACCTTCACTGTGCTAATGTAATCAAACAATTTCTTAGATGGTTTTATGTAAATAGAAGGGTTTGAAATCTGTCCAGTATTCATCACTCTAAATCTTTAGTTTCTGTGCTAACTCTGAATAAACCTTCTGCAAACCTTCCTCTTTGCTCTCTGTAAGTGAATTTATCTCAGAATAAGAAGTTGTAATGTAGTCCATAAAATTGTCCCAATCTGTTTTTCTTTGTTGTCTAGCCCTTTCTAAATAGTCACTCTGAAAAAATGCTTGAAATTAATAACCCAGTCTCTAGAAACTGACGAAAAGTATTACAGTACAAGTATTAATATTGTGCTGCGAATTTTGATTAAAATTTTCATGAGTGTAATGCGGGCTTTTCGGGAAACTAGCGCAACGTCACGTTTGACATTTATTTCTTCTACTACAATTATTAGGAAGTCAAATTTATGCGAACTAATTTCTATTTTGGAATTCACGGTTACTAATTCCTAGTTTCTCTTTCCACTTACCAATACCACAACTTTAAAGACATCATTATTTATAATAAACTGTCCGCAAAAAGTCGATATGTTTGTTCTTTATTTCATTAACTGCTAAAATAAGTGGCTAATAACTTTTAAATGAAGATAAAGGTAACTGTAGTATATTTCCTTTCAACCTACTAGAACTAAATCTGATAATGTTAGGTATAGTCTTCCAGATTCTTCTAAGGTTATATGGCTATTGTAAAGTCGACAATGGAGCGGCAATAAGGTAAACCCACATATTGGATAAATTTTGAGATTATCTGGAAGACTATACTTTCATATTGTATGTAACACTCTATCTATATTCAAGTTATGTAATTGAAAATTACAAAAACAAAATTTAAATTTTTTTGACACATTTTGGTTATTTTTTAACATGAAACTGCGTAAAATCGCGCACCGCTGCCATGTTTTGCATTCATGTACATAAATTAGCTTTCACTTATTTTAAAGAAACGAATTTTATTGACAAAGTTCTATAAAATGATTATAAAAATAAATTTAGGTATTGTGGTCTCAACAAACTAAAGCAGGACAAGTTCCACTACTGTACATGTTGTCACCCTACTAATGGAAACAAATAAGTGTACAAAAAGGACAAAATCTATGTTCCAATTTATGCGATTAAAATTTTCCTAAAAGTGCTTCCTTTTGATGGTATGGTGCTATAAATTTGCACCACAATTGGTGTGTACTGTTTAGATTTGTTGTAAACTCCCATTCAGACTTAGTTCCACACAATTAACAATCAGAAGGCTCTAGCAGTTGTTAATTTTGTGTGGTGTGAAGCTGCCTTAGTTTTGGTTACAAAAATGTCACTAAATGTCAACCCTAATGAAGATAAGTTTACAAGATGGCAAAATTAGTTCAAATCAACAAACAAACTAATGCTGACTACTCTGACCTTATTTTAGCAATTTGCTGTTGTCTAGCATAAAACAACCACTACTCTACCTCCTTGTATTTGTTCTCGACGTCAGAAAATCGACTGCACACAGTTAAAGCTTGTTGTAATTCGTTGTTAGTTTCGGGCAAAACCTGGTCTACAGCTTGCTTAAACCGATCTACTTCCGTATCCTTAATATCGGTAATGTTTTCGATAGTTTTGAATAAGTTATCAACTTCGGTGTCTTTTCTTTTTTGCTAAAATATGCACAAAAGTAGGACATATAACCTTAAAATAGCTAATTTCACCTCAAACTCTTGTAACATAGAGTTAATCTCTCCACTCAGAAAACTCCTATGGTCAAACTGTCTACTCCATATATTTCCAATATCTAAAATTACGGCATTATTTCGTATTTAAATTTTCTAGTGTTTATACCGCACCCTTGCAAATATCAGACATTTTCAATATCATGTGACATCTGTCATAAATTGTCAAAAATTTTAGTGCAGGCGCAAACCACGCAGTGTTGAATTTGGCCGAGCAGGTGACGCCACAAGCAAGTTGGGGTAAATGTAACAACAAAGTTCATCGGGACGTATGATTTAATTTAAAGTAATTGCTTAAGACTGGAAATGTAGGCTATTCATTGTTTTGATTGAGTTATATGTAATGTTTAGGTGCAATAACGAATTATTTTTTAAAAATACATAGGCAACACAGTTAACACTTGCTAGATCTACTCGTTAATTAAGACGTTGTTTTAAATTTTCGTTTACAAGTTTTAACAAAATATGTAGATGTTTCATAATTATTTAAATCGATAGTTTGGTTGGGTTTGTAGATAGATAAATGGAGAGATTTGTGTTGTTATTTAATTATGTTTGAAAGTGGTTACAGTTTTATTGTGATGGTGCGAGTGCAGAAGCGATGTTCTGGTTTGGTGTAACCACAAATTCCCTAGCAGTGGTGTTGTCATGTATACAACAGTTGGCATAAGTGTGTAATAAAAGTGATCAACAATCTCTGAAATAGCAGAAACAATGAATGCAATATATCAATAAATTGTTTAAAATGATGGACGTGCGGGACAGAATTGTGCAGTGAAATAAAATAATGAAGTGTAGTGATGTTGTTTACGATGTGTTGGTTGCGTAAAGCTCGTATGAGCGTTTGAAGTGGAAAAACTGATGCTATTTTGACTTATTTCTATTAGAATACATCATGCCTACTTTAGTCGGAGTTGCCGAATTTGTAAAGGAAACTAAAGATGATTATCATTCCCCAATTACTTCAAGTTTTGTGTCTAGAATGGCACAATTCAAAAATACCATTGCAACACTGGAAGAGGTTCGTAAAATGATTACATCAATCAATAGACACTTTCCCTTTTACTTAGATTACTTTTCATTATTTTTCTGCATAGTGTAAATAGTCGTCTGTTAAATGGTTATATGACATACATTTCGGCGTTTGCCACTAACTCGTCTTGGCTAACACTCAAAATACTGTTTACTTATTTGTAACTTCATATTTTTAGACCGTTTGCTTGTAGACTTTTTCTGCACAGGATATACCAGATATCGCACTTCCACCAGGAAATTAGTGAAACACGCGACACGTTTTTTCATATATTGTATGACCTCGGTACTAATTTGACCCAATTTTGTAAATTTGTAAAAATTCATCTTTGTTTGATGTACCCACTCTTCCCGCATACCTGTACATTCAATTACTAATGACTCATAATTATTTAAATATTTCACCATTGTCATCAGTTTTTTCTAACTACTTGTTTCTTTAGAACCTACTAATTTAACGCACGATGATTTGAAATTCGTTTCTTTAACATTCCCAAGTCATCAAAAAATTGTTGACATAATGATACTCGTGTCAGACTATCTACGACATCTTTTTAATCTAACCACATACTCCGTTTAATTTTAAATCAGATTATCTCAGTCAATATTTATAAGAGTGTCAAAATCTCACGTTGACGGATTATAATCGATTAGGAAATATATAATATCGTTCATACCGTTCACTTCCCCGAAATCAGTAGTACGATCTGGTAACATATTTACAAATACATTTTTGTGAATGTCGAGCTGAACATACTTTCTATAAGAATTTATGTAAAATGTGCATTGACATTCGTCGAAATCCGTAAATATTTCTGTATACTTTGTCGCTTTGGAGTGCGTAACAGCTAAAGTAAATATAAGTAAACTCGATTTTGTGATACCTCATGTAAACATGTGTACTTATATAGCTGTAAATTGTGATGTCGATTTTAAATTAAAACGTTGATACTCCACGAAATTTAAATCGGGAAACCACATTTTCGATGCTAGAATGACCGTAAACCATCTGTTTATTTAGAACAACAGCGAAGGAGAGATCATTTTTGTCCACGTAGTACCATTAAAGTCAAAATAAAAAAAAAATGAACGGGGAAAACACTAGTGTTTTACTCAAGCATATGATTAAAAAGTAATAACACTGTTCGCATTCATTTGTTACTGCGTTTGTTTTGGATTTTTCTTCTCACGACATTACAAATGTTATATAATATAAATTTCACACGCATGTTTATTCTTCATTACTTGAGTTTCTGGGTCTTTTTATGTTGTTTGTTTTTAATTTTGACCCGCATTTTTTCTCGGTGAAAAATATACAATTTTTTTGACTATTTATTAAAGCATTTATTAGAATAACACAGTTGTTGTTGTTCACAATTTTTCTTTAGAAGAAACCATATTTACGGATTAATCCGTTGATGATTTTGTCATACGGATAATTTTCGAAAATTCGGACATTGTGACATTGTTTTAAAATATTTTAGCAGTTTCAATTGCATGGCCAACTAGAGCGGAAATTAATAGAATCATCCGGTATAACAGATTTCATAGAAATTTTGGTGAAACACCAACGTAACGTATTTTCCAGGATATTAACTAAAATCGATTGTATTATTTCATCCCCGCCGGGCAATTGATGACTTCATGTCATAAAATGCTTAAATGAATAGGTATTTCATGAAAAATTCACCCTGAGGTGCGATATTGCGTACTCTTCGAATATGATTTTATGCTTTAGAAATGCCTACAGTGTCTGAAAAAATGGTCGAAGGTTATTTCAACATGTGTATTGTTAACGGATTTTCTGCTATCGAGGACTCGATTTTGCATTGACAAAAACGCATTATTCCTAGAAACCACATACTCATGACTGCAATTTACGATTGTTTCTGCTTGTTTCATAATTTACTTACTTCTGTTTTTGACAAATATGTACAGAATTTGATCTTTTGTAATACTAGATATTAGATAAAGGTATGACACCTTTAAATGCTTCGAAAACTGTGTACTGTGTAGCACATAGTGTCATTTAAAATTTTGCGAACTGTAGACAATTTTCCTTCAAATGTTTCAGCGTACATACTTGTAATAACAAAAAATCTCCAGAAAATCCAGGTTTATTGTTTTGAAAAATGCTTGCGTGGTTTGAAACACAGACAATAAAACACTCTTTAAGTTAGTATGAAAAGAATCCAAGAGTCCCTTTTTTTGAAATTCTTTCAAAAACGAGATAAACGGCCTCAAATGTTTTTTCACATTCTTAAAAACAAGAGACTAGGTGTCCCCAGGATTTTTTCGAACTCTTTCACAACCAAAATTTAAGGACCCCAAAGATCCACAAAGATGTTTTCAAATTATTTCAAAACCGAAATACAAAGGACAACTAGATTTATTTTATTATTTTTACACAAATTAAAAAAAAAACACATTAGGGCTTCTTAAATGCGAAATGCGAGTCCCCGATATTTTTTCAAATTTTCTAACAAATGAAAGAAAAAATACACTCGAGGGTGGGTGAGCGGGGTCACTTTTGAATTTAATATTATTCAGTGTTATCTTGGCAAATACTAATCCCGCCCTCTAGTTTCTTGGAGGGTATGTTCACCAATATCAGTATTATCTTAGCAAGTATTAGTCCCGCCCACCCACCCTCAGTTTTGTTGGAGAATAAGTCATTTGCCAAAATCAGTCTTATCTTACCAAGTACTAGCCCCGCCCACCCGCCCTTTATTTTCTTAGAGAATATGTCATGTGCCAAAATCATTCTTTCAAATTCTTTCAAACACAAACAAGAGACTCCTAAGGTTTTTTAATATATCTTAAACGACACAAGGGGCTCCCAAAATTTTTTCAAACTTATTCAAAAATAAAACATATTAAGCTCCCCAAGATTCTTTCGCATCAAAAAATAGACACTACGGACCTATATACATATAACATGGTAGAGCCCCGGGAAGTTCTTTTTTCATGTCCTTTATTAAAAAAACTCTATTCTGTTTTTTCAAACTCTTTCAAAAACAGAACACAAGTTATCTTTAAGGTTTTTTCAAGTATTTAAAGAGACACAGAGCTCTCAAAATTCTTCCAGAAATAAAACAACAGGGGTCCTCGACATTTTTTCAAATTTTCTAACAAATGAAAGACAAGGGGCCTTCTAAGATTCTTTCACATATTAAAAAAAACACACACACACACTCGAGGGTGGGTGGGCGGGGCCACTTTTGAATTTAATATTACTCAGTCTTATTTTGGCTAATACTAACACCGCCTATCCGCCCTTTATTTTCTTAGAGAGTATGTTATTTACCAAAATCAGCATTATCTTAGCAAGCACTAGCCCCGCCCACCCACCCATTAAAAAATTGATGACATTATTTCAAAATTGTCACGTATAAAGTTGGTACAGCCCGGTTTACAATTTTTAGCAGAAACGATGCAATGAACTTTGAGACCAACTATCTTCCAAAAAACTGATGATTTTTATTGAACTTACTATATTGTTTCCCTATTGTTTAAAAAACTTTAGTATTAACCGATTTATTTTATCGATTATCTCAGAAAAGGCTTATCTAGTTGACATTCTGGGAATAGAGTCGTAATAGTTAGTATGTCAATAAAATATGAAATATAGCTTTTGAAAATTGAAAGTATCTTCATTAATTAATCGATTATTGCCGTTAAGGTGGATCTAATTTGTTTTAATTTGTTGATACTCCTTTTAATGTGGAAAAGATCAGCAGGGACCACAAATTGGAAAGAAACGATGTTTATAAAAGAAGTCATGGCATATGATTTATTATTTTCTTTTATCGCAAAGCATACGTAAAAAGGAAAATAGTATGTTATGCTTGGTGTCTAACTAATGCTAGACTTATAATATAAGCATAGAATTTACTATTGATTTATTACATAGTGCTCAGTGAGCTGTTTGAGAGAACGCAGCTCGCGACATCCATATTACACAATTATTTGTATTATTTGTATGTTTTGCCCAATGCTACATATTCATCTGTCCGTTTTATAATCCAGGTGAATAAAACGTACCCAGTTCAGTTAATTTGGATTCTCTTTGTCTCGAGTATTGTTCATGTGGTAATTTTAAATAAAAGCACCTGAAAATTCGCCCGTTAAGCGTCGGTTAAATCCGTGATCAACAGAGCGTTTAGTTCAAGTTGGGTGCGTTTCATTTTTAATTTGAATTTTGCAGATTTGTGACCGCGTCAACACCGTGGCTAATTTCAGGTGTTTTTCAATGCTAAGTACGCGAATAGAGTAATGAAATCAGCAGAGGTGTCATTTTAACTCAAACATGACTTTCGAAAAAGTCGAATTTAGTTGTTGTATTTTAGTGAGCGAATGACGTATGATTGTTTTAAAATAAATCGAATGACGTCGTCGTCTTTCCATTCTCGGAAAACCAGTAATATTGAAGAGAAAGTAACGTTTTGGGTTAACTTTGGATGCTATTAGTATTAAAAGTCATAAATATTCGATATGCAAACATCTGTGATTAAAAAGTAGGTTTACAACTTGTCATTTATAGCGATCGTGGGATGGACGTTTTTGCTTAATTTGTTGCTTTTTGGTTCTTCAAATGTGCTACAAATTATAGATAAGAGTTTACGAGGTGTGTTAACTGAGTAATTTTATTGTTGAGAATGTCATTAAAGAGTTCCCATAGTCATGTAATTCATTTATGATGTTGTTATATTTAAGAAAAATGATCTTGTGTAAACGTAAGGAGGTGCGGATTATGTAAGTTGGCACAATAGAAACTGCACTCTAGTACACGACCTGGAAAATTTTTCCACAGCGTGTAGGTGTTTGGTGAAATTTTGCATTACTAGCCTAATATATGCGGATGTGCCACATTGGCCACAAATATGAAAGAAATCATATAGAACCTGTTTCTTTTTTTGGAAAATGTAACTAACCCGACCCGTGCTTGGGTGTTAATTCTTTGGGTGTGTAAATACAATCAAGATAACC